TCCTCTCCCTTACTTCCTACTTGTAGTTGGTAGCTAGGCCTTGTCTCTCCCATCTCAGGGACAGAATCCCTTCTCTCCACCCACAGCGCCTTTTCAGCTCACACCCGCCTTATTGCTCAGCTGCGTCAGGGCCCTCTGGCTGGGCTGGATGCCTTTTATGTTCACAGTACGCCTTGTCCTGTGTTCATGAGCCCTACAGTTATTCTCACAGCTCCTCCCAGTGCACTGGAAGCTCCTTGTGGGCGGGGACTGTGTTTTCTGTATGAGCGGCCAGCTCCAACTCTGCCTGCCACGTGGGCAGTACTGATTCACATCTACTAAGGAAACCGAAGATAATTAGCAGTTGACCTTGTGCCCTGTGTTGCTGGGGGTCTCTCAGTCAAGACCAGCATGTGATCACACAGCTTTTCTACCTGAGGCATAGGTTTGCCAGGAGTTGCAGGCTTTTTGTTTGTATGTTTTTTGCCATAACAAACAACACAGCAAAATCAACTGCATTTAGCACAATGTTGTGAATGTTAAAGGTCAAAAATTACAGTAAATGAAAAGGAACAGAGCTGGTCATAGTGGCACACACCTATAATCCTAGCACTTGGGAGGCAGAGGCAGGAGGATTGCCACAAGTTCGAGGCCAGCCTGGGCTACATAGTGAGTTCAAGGCCAGCCTGAACTTCTGAACTACATAGGGAGACCCTGTCTCAAAAAATAAAAAACAAAAAAGGAAAAGGAACAGGGACTCAAATCTAAGGATTCAGTTTTTAAACTCTAAGCAGTAAAAGCCCTATTTTTTCTGAAAACCTAGCATTCAATATACTGTCTGGCTATACTAGGTTTAAAACAAGAAACAATAAAGCAACAATAATAGTTACTACTTTCTGAGGTAGGAGACTAGGAGGCTGTCTGCTTCCTATTTTGCAGGCAAAGTAAATATCTCATTTAATCCTCCCAAGCAATTTGTAGAATTACATTTTATAAAGCTAGTCTTTTTTTATTCCTGTTGCCAGCTGAAGGTACTGGAGCCCAGAGGAGTTAAATGACATTCTTGAGTTCACCCACAAGTCAGCAATGGCACCAGATATGAAGCCTTTTGTGTAATTTCAGAACCCACATTCATTTGTCACAACTGCCTGAGTCAGTGCACACGTGACCAAATCTGTGTCATGCTCTGCTCAGCTGAACTCAGCTGGTCGCTGAGCATGCAGAGAAAAGCAGGAGTTTGTTGGATCTCTGTTCTGATGGCACTAGCCATCCAGGTTCAGATAAATGACTTAAAATATCACACATATAAGGTGTGTAACAGTATGTCTTTCTTAACTATAAAGTTGAAAAGGAATTGCTATTCAAACTTTTATTTTTCCTTCTCCCAACTTATAATTCTGGAAGGTATTTGCTCATATTATTTGATTTGTGTAGGAACTGAATTTTTTTAATGGGTGGAACATACAAAGCTAAATCACATAGATTTTTGAGCTTTTTGATGTGGCATGAAGGAAAAGAATGAAAACCATTTGCTTGCTGATACCCACACCTTCTGATCAGTCTTTTGTCCTAGTTGGCTTACTTCTTATTTGTGGATTGGGAAAGCTAAGTATAATGTGGGCCAGAACTATGCTGGCATGAACATGGTCTGACATTAAAGCTTACAGGAGCAAACATTTTTCAAAGACAGCAGCTAGCTCCCAGAATCTCTGGCACAAGCGTCCTCTGACTTGGACAGTTTCTGCTGAAGGTAGTCAGACAATCCCCCCACCTGTGGACAGGCTCATGGGTTCCTTACATATAGTTGTGCCTGAGTGGCAAAAAATATAGCTTTAATTTTACCTTTGCTCGCTGATGGCCTCTATTATGTATTACCAACCAGAAAAATGGGATCCACTGAGCTTGCTAGTTTGAACCACTACAAAAATAAAGAGGAAATTAGATTTTTATTAATGTGGTGCTTTATTTGTCCGTTTAAGTGTCTCTGCCTCAGGCTCTGGGTTGTAGCATCAATGTTCACAGTAAAGTTAAGACCCACATGAGTGTACCAGTTCTAACTTTGTTATCACCACTTAAATATATATCTTTGGAAATTATACTATCTGTTTAATTCTGAGGGATTTAAGAAAATGTAAAATACATTTTTACAATTAGACAGACCAAAATTACCAATATGGTACTCAAAGGTAGTTCTCCAAAGAGCTATGCATAAATGAATACATTAATTATTGCTCCAATATCAAGAACTAAAAGCCAAAGAAAACCAAAATCCATTGTTAAAACTTCCCAGTCACATCAGGAAGCATCTCAGACCAACCCGTCCTCGTCTTTGTCTGATTTCTTGAGCATGTTTGGACTATACGCTCTGCAGAGGAGAAAATGCTCTAGAGTTGACAAATCAGTAGCCTGTGTGTGCCAAAGATTATTCAAAATAAATGATCAACAATTCATTAAGTTAACCTCAGGTTAAAAGCTCGTTGGCATACTTTGGAATCGATCGATTTTAAATATTAAGTTGGAATTAAAAGGTCATGAACAATTGTTTAGTAGAATGTGTATATATGTGGGAAAGCCATGCAAATACATCTGCATTTTTATGAGACAGTATTAAATATGAGATGTGTTGTTCTCAGTGCAAAGGTGGATTATATTAGGTGTAGTAGTGGTCAAAAGTCATACAATTATAACTTGAAATCTTTGCATCGCATTACATATAAATTATGCTCAATTAAAATAAAAATAATCATGACTCTCAAGGCAATGAAAACAAGGAGTGTGAGAAGCTGTTCTAGCACGACTGGAGAGAAACATAATGAGATGTCTTAGATGGAATCCAAGAACAGAAAAAGGCAAGCGCAAAATGAACGAAGTCCAAATGAAGTGTGACCTTTATTAATAATAATGTATTAATATTAGCACATTAGTTGTGAGAAATGTACCACACGAGTGTAGTTACTCATAGCTAACAGTAATATTCACAAGAGGTAAGACTAGAGGTGGTAGTCTAAAACTATTCTAAAATTTTGAAAAGCTTATTTAAAAATAGAAATGTGAGATAAGAAGGAAAAACGATAATGTACCAGTTACTCAAGACACTGAAGAGAGGTCAAGATAATGAACATTAAAACCTAAGTGTGCATTCTATTTCAAGTACTAGGCACAAACTAGACAGAAAGAGTGTTTTTCTTTTTTTTTTTTAATCCGCTGGACATTGGCACTGACTAGATTACCCTTCTATCCGTTTTCCCTCCCTTGATAAAACAGTTCAGACGTTTTACATGATATTTTATGCGGGCTAACGCTAAAAACGGTTTATACCCAAGGAAATGCAAGGAACTAAATAAACAGCACAGATTTTTGGCTAACGCATAATCCTCACTGTAAATGATCTAACTCCACAGTTCCCTCCTGCTTCACTCCACCAGCACGAGCTGCACACACATTCTTATATACGAAAATTTCATTCTGCGCCTGCCAAAACCTTTTCTTTTCAGGCGCGTGTGTATACAGATGCGTAAAGCAAACCGGCTCACGGTGCCATGTGTCTCTTTGTTAAATACGCCTTCATGCTATAACCCACAATCATCGTAATTAAGCCCTGTCGATCCCCTTTGCCACGCGGGGCTGCTCCTCAGCGTGTGCTGCTGTCGGCGAGCCGCGGGACGCGCGATCCAGGCAGCAGCGCCGGGCGGGCCGGGCCGCGTGCGGGGCAGGGGCGCTGCGGCCCCGCCTTCGTGCAGCTCCGCGCGAAGCTGCGCCCGCTGCCCGGAACGACCTTCGCGATGACCGAGGAGCAGTTCGCGGCCGAGGCTCACGGAGAGGCCCAGAGCCAGGGTGGACGATGCGTTAGAGCAGGAGCGGGCGGAGGAGCTGCCGCGGCCGCCACCACGAGGAGCTCCGTCCGGGCCCCTCCGCCGCCCCGGCTGCGGCGCGCCGCGTTGCCATGGGAACCGCGCGCTCATCGCGCGGGATGGAC